TTAGATAGATAGATAGATAGATAGATAGATAGATAGATAGATAGATAGATAGATGAAAAGGCTTACATACATAGATAGATAGATAGATAGATAGATAGATAGATAGATGAAAAGGCTTAGATAGATAGATAGATAGATAGATAGATAGATAGATAGATAGATAGATGAAAAGGCTTACATACATACATACATAGATAGATAGATAGATAGATAGATAGATAGATAGATAGATAGATGAAAAGGCATAGATACATAGATAGATAGATAGATAGATAGATAGATAGATAGCTGAAAAGGCTTACATAGATAGATAGATAGATAGATAGATAGATAGATAGATAGATAGATAGATAGATGAAAAGGCTTAGATAGATAGATAGATAGATAGATAGATAGATAGATAGATAGATAGATAGATAGATAGATGAAAAGGCTTACATACATAGATAGATAGATAGATAGCTGAAAAGGCTTACATAGATAGATAGATAGATAGATAGATAGATAGATAGATAGATAGATAGATAGATAGATAGATAGGCATAGATAGATAGATAGATAGATAGATAGATGAAAAGGCTTAGATAAATAGATAGATAGACAGATGAAAAGGTTTAGTTAGATAGATTGGAAAAACTGTTTTCTTAGTAAATATTCATCCAATACAAGGCCAAAGAGCCACTCATGATAGTGGGCTGCTGAATGAGAGTTTTTTTTAAAGAAGGAAGTAATTGCAGAATATGAGGATACGCAGGTCAATTAACGGTTGATCGGATGGGCTTCGACATGAAGAGGGTAAGATTGTAGTGATTGTATGTGGCATCCTTTCGGGAACAGGCAGTCTGAGTGGAACTTCCTTTCCAACGAGGGAAATGATGATTCCACTCAGTGTCATACTGGATCTTCGTTGTGAGGGTGGAAATAAGGAATGCAGCTCACCTGAATATCTGCCATCGGAATAGCAATAGATTGGCGACAGACATCTGATGTTTCGTCTGTGGGGACAGAAGCTACAGTGTTGAAAATCATTCATCGTTCACAAGGCCCTATAAACGCTTCTGAATTTTGTCATGGCTGGAAAATTACATTTGAGCTGGGATATATATAAATGAAATCAGAAAATAAGACAAGTAATAAAACTAGACGACCCGTGACCCTGTTCAGTTTATAAAACATTGAAGTTGATTTCAACAGTCCATCGAAATAAAAGTTAATTTTCTTATGATTCAGTTAAATAATTCAATTTGCCCTTGTAGTCTTTGGTCTGGTTTACAAATTCATGTTTAACGTTTTACTGATTGTTTACAGCATTTAATATGAATAGCATTTCCGGGATGAACTTAAACTTTAATCAAATTAGTTTAAATCTTTTTTTAATATGCCAATAATATTTTAAATCATATTCACTTGAAAATATTTTTAAATATGACAAAATATTTTTTAAATATTTAAAATAGTTTGTTTAACGAAAGCTGAAATATAAATAATTGCTCTCCAAATAACTGGACGAAACAGCAAAGCGGGATCTCTTTGTGTCTGTCTTTAACTTAGAAATATTTTAATTAAAATATTGTACGTAGAAAGTTAAAATATAAATAATTAATGAATAAACAACTCTTATTTTGAAATCTTATTCACTTAAATCAGTTTAACTTAATTCATTATTCATTCATTAATCGAACAGTTTTTTTTCTTTTTGCTGTTTTTTTATCAATTCACCCCAAACAAGGCGATAATGCCACTAAAACGCAAAATGGGAGAGGGGTTTCTGGGAATGAAAGAGAAGGAAAAGACTTTAGAAGGAACCGGAAGCCGAAGTTTTAACACGGAAGAAGGGATAGGAACACCTACTTCTGTTCAAAATACTAGAGGTGAAGTGTAAATAGGGCGATACTGTTTGTTGAAATTTATAAACTCTTTTTTCTTTTAATAAAACTTTTTTTTTTTACCAAATTATACTTTTCATGTCCACTGAATGTTATAACTCTTTCTAATATTGAGTTTCTTTCCAGACATTTTTTTTTTTTGCTTTTTGCTTTTTTTTTTAACAACTTGATTATGTCATTATATTTTTCATGTTACATGTACTACTCATTTTTACTGTTGCTGCTTTTAAAAGTGTCAAAATGGCGTCTGTGATTTTATTATCGGATCTTATAAAGGATCGTTTTCGTTATAGGATTAATTCGTTTGAAGCGATTTTTTCACCATAGAACTGAGAGAATGGTTGTATAAAGATGACAGTTTAAACATTTCTGCTGGGTGCCATGCATGATATCCATATAATAGTCACCATCTGATGAGGGTATTTAAAGACATTACTCGAGTTCTCGAATTAATATTTTGTTTATGCAGCAAAAAACTACCCCTGGAGCAGCCTACTTTTTGTTCAATTTCCTTTTCTCCTATACTAAATTTCTTATAACTGATCCATACACCGATGTATTTCAAGTGTTTAGAGTTTATTACTAATAATTTATTTTGTAATTGTTATGATGGATACAGGGTATATAGGAGTAGATAAGTTTACTCCATACTTCTAACGTCTTCACCAAAAAATCTTAACTTATTGACCTTTTCCTCGAGAAGAATAAAGAGATTTACCTATCGCCTGGTTCCCACTGAACAAGAGTAGAGGTTTATCCCGTGTTCCCATTTTAGGATTAGGTTTCCAGTTCCTTCTAAATTCTGCTTCAGCCCAACACTTCTAAATTCTCTGCCTAAATTCTGAAATTTCACTATTATTACGTTTCCAGCTTCTTTTAAAGTTTTTACCTTCTTTTTAAATTCTAGTAGTCCCCTGCATCTTAGTGGCGTTATCGACCTGCTTGGGGTGAATTAATCTAAAAAGAAATGTGCCCAAAATACTTTCATTCCAGTTCTAGATCATAGTTTCTGTTTTAGAAATGTTTCTCGGAAGTCCTATCACTTGGAACACTTTGTAAAAAATGTTGATTTTTATGAAAGATCGTTTTAATCCCAACTAGGAATACCTACGTCATCAGCATTGCTTCTCACTTATCGTCAGTACGCTAATATATGGAGGGAACCAGGAATGTTGTTTTCTATGAGTAGATTCAGTTCACCTTGACATACGTTAAAATAAATAATTATACGTAGATCAATAGGTGTTATTATTATTGTCGTATTATAATTCTGTTTGTTCTGTCGTTCCTTAGCGCGTACATTACGCCTTATAATAACTTGTCTGTCCCCAGCTCTCAAATCTCCGATAAAAAATGAGTCATTCTTGTTTGATCGCGAGAGTAGAAATGATATATCAAAAGCACTGTTTGATTTTAGAGAAAGAAAGAAAGAAAGAAAGATTGAGAATAAAAAAACAAAGAAAGAAAGATTGAGAATAAAGAAAAGGAAAGAAAAAAAGAAGAAAGAGTGAGAATAAAGAAAGAAAGAAAGAAAGAAAGATTGAAAATAAAGAAAAAAGAAAAACAAAAAAGGAAAAAGAAAGAGAGAAAGATTGAGAATAAAGAAGAAAGAAAGATTGATTGAGAATAAAGAAAGAAAGAAAGAAAGAAAAAGAAAGAAAGATTGAGAATAAAAAAGAAAGAAAGAAAAGAAAAGAAATAAAGATTGAGAATAAAAAGAAAGAAAGACAAAAAGGAAAAAAGAAAGAAAGAAGGATTGAGAATAAAGAAAGAAAGAAAAAGAAAGATTGAGAATAAAGAAAAAAGAAAGAAAAGAAAAGAAAGAAAGAAGATTGAGAATAAAGAAAAAAGAAGGAAAGACAAAAAGAAAGAAAGAAAGAAAGAGAGGAGACGATAACAATCTTATATTTAACGTCTGCTTCAGCGAAACGGAAAACCTTATTAATTTTTAATCTTTTAGTTGTTGATTGTTTGGTTGGTTTTGTTTAGCGGAATATCAGACTCTATGAGTTATTAAATGTCGAAATCTAAATATTTTGTACGTAATTTTATGGCTTCAACTACAGATAAAATGTATTTTTGATCATTTTGCTAATAAAATTTATTCTTGGTCATTCTACTACAAAAATTGGTGCTGGTATGTGTTGTTGGTTATTTTACTATCAAAATGCATTTTTATAATTTCATGATTTTTTTTTTTTGTTTGGTGGGGGGTCACTATTTGCCCATAGTTGGGACCCTAACAGGTGCTACCACCTAGGATCAGGAACAACAGCAATTAAGAAGTAGCCCCACGCTTCCCAAAACTCAAATCTCTCGATCAGAGGCCTTGTTGCCGGATGGAGCTTCTTTGTATTTGTACCCTCTTACTTCTTTTACTAATGACCTGCATTCATATTTATGATTGTCATTGTAATATTTCACTAAAGTTGTTAAGCTCAAACTTTAAACGGGTATTTTATGCTGATGGAACTCACAAGGAGCGAATTAAGATTTAAGATTCATACAAATTCACATCGAAAAACGGTGGAATTTTTAACGGGTATTGCAAATTACTATTAGTAGTAGTATTAGTATTCAGAATACAGAAGACATTATTTGCTTTTTTGGTGTCATGACATTTTGACCAACGTGTTCTACAGCCTTCTTCCTGTGTGCAATCTTAAAAGAAAGAGAAACGTATGTCGCAGTCGGTATATTTGTCGCTGTTTACTGCTAGTTTCTGGAGAAAAGACATTAAAAATTTAATGGCAAAAATATTTGGATTGAATATTTAAGTTTAAAAATTGCATTTCTTAATGGATGCCGTCCTGGGTATGATGATAAACTACATCCGTGTCCTGGGTATGACGATAAACTACATCCGCGTCCTGGGTATGACGATAAACTACATCCGCGTCCAGGGTAAGACAATAAACTACATCCGTGTCCTGAGTAAGACGATAAACTACATCCGACAGCAAAGCCTCTGGGTTAGGAGGTTTTGAGGAGCGTGAAACCATTTCTTAATTGCTGGTGGCCCCAGGTCCACCCTGACCCGAGGTGGTAGCACCTGTTAGAGTCCTAGCTATGGGTAAATAGTTAACCCTCAAGCCAGGGTCAAAAAACTATGTTTTAGTACCAGAAATACTTTGTAAAAATTATTTCCAGCAATAAATTTGTCGGCATTAAATAACCCATTGAGGTTGATATGCTGTAAAACAAAACAAACCGAACTTTATGGATATGTGTAGTATACTTCAGATTAGTCTCCCAGCCACGATCATTACCATCTAGATGACACCAGTGAAACAATAGAGACGCTAATGGAAAAAAAAAGACATAGATACAATGCTAAAAATCAAATGCATAGTATATAATATATTAAAAAAATACAATATATAAAACAAAAAAATGAAAGAAACAATGATTCAATAAAATCCACAGGCCGAAAGACCTGTAACGACGGGCGTGTTGGTTTACGAGCCTTTGTGAAGTTGTTTCCTCTTAAAGCTTTGTTAAGGCAGGTATTTTGTGCTGAATCGAACGAAAGTTGGGAAGGGAAGAAATTAAATTTGAAAATAATTACATGTTGACTTCTAGTTCAGTAGGGAGAGAAAGTGTCACTTTCAAATAAAAAACAAATGGCGTCCTTTTGTTAGTGAAGTAAACACTTGATCGTTATCGATGAAAGAATTACAAAGAAAGATTAAGAAGAAAAAAGCTAGAAAAAAACGGAACGAAAGAAAGAAGAGGAAAATGAAAGGAAGTAGAAAGAAAAAGAGAAAAATTAAAAGAAGCACGCTGTAGAGAAAGAACGGAATGGTGAAGTGAGAGACGTAAGAAAAATAGGAAGAAAATGAGGGTTGAAGAGGAGGCAGAGAAAAAAAGTGGTAGGAAGATAAAAGAGGAGAAATGAAAAAAAGAGTTATGGAAGCACAAGCGGAGGAAGTGTTGAAGAAGAAAAGTAAGAGGTGAAAGACAATGAAGGAGGGAGAAGATAATATTGTGAAGATCAAACGGGGAAAGCATTGAAGAAGAAAGAAAGAAAGAAAGAAAGAAAGAAAGAAAGAAAGAAAGGAAGAAAGAAGCGACAAACATGAAATGGGAGAAAATAGGAATAGCAGGAGAAAAAGACGTGTGATGGAGAGGGGGAAGATTAAATTAATATAAGAGGAAAGAAAAGTGTAGAGTCGAGAGAAAACGAGAGTTGAAGGAGAGCGGGAAGAAGAGAAATAGAAGGTAGAAAAATAAGTGAGGGTGAAAAATAGAAAAATAGAGAAGGAAAAATCTGGAAAAAAAAAAGAACATTTTTGTAAGAAAAACAGGCATAGAGAAAAATAAGACAGAAAAAATCCGAGAAAATTTTAGAAAGAAAAAAAGAAAGAAGCCAGCGAGAAAAAATAAATAAAGACATAAACGTATTCTACGTCGAAGAAAAGAACAATTTCTGAAAGAAGCGAACTTGTCCACTTCAACAACAGCTGATGTACGTTAGCGCCTCCTATCGTTGTTAAAACCAAACGTGGTGAAGAGGAGAAAGTGACTTTACTGATTTGGGCCACGTCTAACGGATGTTCATCTTTTTCTTTCCAGTTGCCAGGGATTATAACTATTCCTATGTTTTTTCTTTACTTCGCATCATTGTCTTTTATAACAATGCTGTGTTCGTAACGATAAAAGGTACTCCAAACAATCATAAAGAATCGGTAGCCTTTCATGTTTATCTTTCGCAAAAATCACCCTGAAAATGATGAGTCAGTGTAATGGCGTCCAAACGATGGAGAGTTGGAGTCGACTGATATTTAACTAAATTTCAACACCAGATTAAAATAAACAAATAGCTGCTGTATTTATTGGTTTATAAGATTCATTTTTCTGTCGAAGTGTCTAAAATATCACATCGTCTTTTATTTTTCGAATTTGGGGTATCTGATCGGCTAATGTTTACCCAGACGCCATAGAATACCAGTAAGTGTACCGAGCGTATTTTGTGATTTCTTGCTATGTTTTATTATTTTATTCATGTATATTTTCATTGTAAATAACTAATCATTTTTTTGTTTCATTTTCGGACTTACTGTTATTTCCATCTCGAGTGACAGCTTGTTTTCAGGGAATGTTCTCTGTTTTGGTGAATCTGTTTTTGTTTTCTTTTCGAAATGGCAGCAACGTAATTGCTTAAACAAATAAAGATTTTCCTGCTGTCCTTCTGCACCATTTCTCTTCAGGAGGTGAGCAATCGTGACTCACCAGAACTTCCTGTCGTTTGTTTTCTCAAATTAACTTTTGAATCTTTACCAGTTCTTTTTGCCCTTACTCTGCCATCCGTTCGCAGAGTCATTTCGTAAGCTATTCATTGTTTCACCTTCATTCTCTTGACATCATTATGTCTTGTGAGTTTTGGCTTCTGTAGGCCTTCTTTCCTCATTATCTGTCCTAAATATTTCAGTTGTATCTTTGCGATTGCGAGCATAAATTCTAGTTCCTATTTTCCATAAAAACTACTTGTTGCTTGCACGGTCTCTCCATATTATTTATGCATCTTTCTGAAGAACCACATCTCTGTTGCCTCAAGTCGACCTTTTATAGTTAAGGTATCAGGTCATCCCATAAGTTCTGTCCGAATTTTGAATAAAGAAAACAAGTGACCAAATGTTACATTTAATTACAGATTCAATCAACAATGTATTTTCCCTGATTATCTATGACTTCCTTCCATCTATTAACAAGCTTACTAATTCCATTACTGTAAAATTATTTTGGCTTTGATTCGAAGAACTCACAAATGTCAGTTTTAACCTCTTCCTGTGTTACAAAAGCTGTTTCTTCCAAATGATTCTATAAGCGACGAAACAAATGGTAGTCTGAAGGAGCAAGATCGAGAGAATAATGTGGATGAGGAATTTTCTCCCAACCAAGTTCTTCGATCTTTTGTGACTTGATTCTTGCTGTGTGGGGTCGCGCATTGTCCTGATGAAATATCACCTCTTTTCGATTCACTAGAGCAGGTTTTTTTCTCCTCAAAGCTTGGTTCAAACGCTCTAATTGCTGACAGTATATTTGAGCATTAATTGTTGCATTAGGTGGTAAGAATTCAAAGTGGATTATTCCTTGGCGATCCCACCAGATTGAAAGAAGAACCTTTTGCCCATGAAGTTCCCTTTTCGGCTGGGGCCCTTCCCCTTTACCAAGCCACTTTCTACGATACTTAACATTTCGATAAAAGATCCATTTTTTGTCGCCAGTCACAAGTCTATCCAAAAAAGGTGAAACAAGTTGGCGAGAATGGAGAGACGAGCAGATGTCAACTCGGGATTTGAGGTTGTCTTCAGACAATTCATGAGGCACCCATTTTCAAAGTTTAGGAACTTTTCCAAGTTGTTGAAGATGAGGATGAACAGTTGTATGGTTTGAACTGAGAACCACTGCCAATTCCTCAACTGATAAAGCAGGATTTTCTTCAAGGGCTGCTTCAAGAAGCTTTTCATCAAACTCAACTGGACGTCCGATTCGATCTTCATCTTCAAGGGTGAAATCTTCACCTCTGAATTTTGCAAACCATCTTCTGCAATTTCTTTCATTCATACATTCCTCTCCATAAACTGAGTGAATGTTTCTAGCCGCTTTGGCTGCTGAGTTTCCTTTCTTGAACTCATAAAGCATTATGTGACTCAAATGATTCTTGGGTACTTCCATGTTAGCAGGGTTCTAATCAAACAAAACTTAATTTTATTGTTCTGTGAAATAAAATTTGATCATTTTAAATGCATCTAAACATAAAAATAACGTTCACTTCCATTAGACATTATAAAATACTCTTTAAATTTCGTTCATTTTAACAAAAAGTTAAAATTGGGCAGAACTTATGGGATGACTTGATAAATATATATATATATATATATATATATATATATATATATATATATATATATATATATCTGGATGAATAGATTTCTCTGTATCCTTGGAAACGTGAATTATGATTTTTTGCTGTGCCTTTAAAACCCAGTAATTTTAAAAGTTACTCCAAAATTCGCTTGAGGATGAAATGGAACTAATGTCTTTAATTTAATTACAAAATTAAATTGAAGCTTTTAGCTTCCTTTTTTTGAAACATGGTTAGAACTGTGTAGCGAAAAAAAATAATATTTTAAATCAATTAATTTATAATATATATATATATATATATCATTTCAAAGTCTTTCGCCGTCAAATCTTTTTGAAATTTTATTCATTGTTATTGTTATTAACATTTGTGCCTTTTATCAAAATAAAAATGTAGAGTTGTATTATATGCTCGTTCATCTGTTATTGAAATAAAACTTTTGATTGTGTCCCTTTTTAATTTCTTTAGAAAAATATGCAATCGTACATTCCAGTGTTGATCCTTTTTGATGTTGGCTCATTCCAACGTTAGTTTTGTCAGTTTATTCCCGGTCAAAATCTAGCAGTTCCTGTATTCCTGTAGGAAATGGTACTGGGAAGGGATTGAGTGTTTCTCTTGAGTTTTAATGTAAAATGGCTTGTTGTCGATATATGTTCCTTTATTAAATGTCAAAGATCAGTAAAGTATTGATTTATACACGAAATGTCAGTCGTAAACACAAGGCCCTTGAATTAAATTATTGTTGCTCTAGTTTTCATAGTGAGGAAGTTTTCATAAATCTGCTCGCTTTTAAACACGCTAAACCCTAACAATTTTACGTGTCTTGATTGGCGCCATTCATTTGTTCATGTGTGTGTGTGTGTGTATATATATATATATGGAGTGTTCTTGATTGGCGCTATTCAATTGCATGATAGATAGACAGATAGAGAGATAGATAGATAAATAAATAGATAGATAGATAGATTATTAATTAATTAATTAATTAATTAACGATAGATAGATAGATTATTAATTAAGATAATGTGATAGTTAGGTAGATAGATTATTAATTAAGATAATGTGATAGATTATTAAGATAATGTGATAGATATATAGATTGATAAATATATAGATAGAAAGAAAGAAAGATTATTAATTAAGATAGATAGATAGATAGATAGATAGATAGATAGATAGATAGATAGATAGATAGATATTGGTATTGACAGATAGACAGACAGACAGATGGATGACTTCATGCATGCAGATAGTGTAACGGTTAGCAAATCGGAAATAGGAATCCGCCAGCCGATTTCGAATTCCAGCGAGTTCGCCATTCTGATACGAAATAATTGTGCTCTTTATCGAGGTGCAACTGAAACGGCAGATAAAAGTAAGCATTAACATTTCCCAAATATTTTTATTATTGAATAAGTGAGGAACACGCCAACAAAATGACGCTAGGTTCCAAACATAACCCAATATACCTATCATGACACTCGGTCTAATAACCATGAACCACAGCCAAATGTGAGCAACATGTTGACACGTTTTGATATGAGCGGGCATAACCACGCAGGAGGGGGTCAAGTAAGAAACCGATTCGCCCAAAATGTCTGCGATCGACAGTGTTTTTTACTATGTAGATATGACTCCAAAGTTGTTTTGCATGCTTCAATTTCTTTTTCAAAAAATCCTTCACGTCATTCGGCCATGTTGCTCCACCACTATTTCTTCCGAGTAACGTAGATAGACAGTTTTTCAGCCATTAAGGGACATGTCCAATTCGTCAAAGCCAGGCAATTAACAAAAAAAAAAAAAAAAAGAAAAGGCGACCAAGCATAGAAATGAATACAATATGGGAACCAGTAATAAGGAGTGCCATAGAAAAGCGATAATAACAACAAAAATTGCAATATGAGCTTCGGTAAAAACATGAATTGATAACAGCAAAAATTGCAATATGAGCACTGGTAAAAAACTGTGACTGAAGACATTAATTTTATAATACCTAGAAATTCATACACAGATGTCTCAAGGACAGATGGCACAGTGGATAAAGGCGTTAGTTAGATCCAGTGAGTTCAATACCCAATTAAGGCAGTGGAGAACTTTCCGAGGGGAATTAACAGGAGATAACTGATAACTGACATCCATTAAACATGGCACGTGGAACTAGAACAGTCTACCCTAGTGAGCGAAATAAAGGGTTCAGTTCGACATTACAACTACCTGAAGAAAGCTGGAGCGTACAACGGCCGAAACGTTGTAATAAATATGGCGACAAAGATGAGGACAATAGTCCGAATAATGTAAATAATGTACATACCTCATCTCGGAGATATAGACAGATACAGGTCCAATAATATTGCTAATTCTTCTTTGGTTTTTATTTCAGTCTGTTAATATCTATCTCAGTTTGTTCAAATCAGTGTATAAATATCTATATATCTTTATGCCTGTCTCGCTATGTTCAGATCTATCACTGTCGATACCTATTACAGTCTGTTTATCTATTTATCTATCTACCTAGATGTCTCCGTTGA